ATATTTATACCTTAAAATCAGGAAAGTGAATTATTTCCTTCATAGCTATTTTGGCAGGACACATAAACTTTTTACTATCTTGTAAAATTAAATAGTTTTTTTGAAAGCAATGATCATCCATCTACAATTAAATTTTAAATCCAGAGATTTTACTTATAAAATTATATTTTAAAGTGTTAAGAATAAAAGAATGATATAAATCAAAACTCAAGAATAAAGTTGTAGCAAAAATTAAAGATATTTTTAGTTACATCATGTCTTTTTTTATTTTTTTTGTAATCATTTTTTTTTGAAACATTTCTGTCAAACCCATGGTGACAATCTAAAACTTAATTTGAAATAACAATATAAGGTATTCCTGAATAAGGAATAGCAGAATCTTCCCAAAGTACACTATGATTCGTTGTAATTGTATCTAAAATAAAAAATATTGAGTTAGTAACTTAATGCAAAAAATTATATGAAAATCCTGCAAAGAATTCAAAAAGTAAGAACACTTGGCAATCAGCTAACCTGTGTTACCAAAATTTTTATTAGCATAATACACCACAAATCGTGTTGTTGTTCTTAATTCATATTTTTTGATACAATGCAATGCTTCTTCGTGTGATTTATAATGATAAACAAGTTTGGTTTTGTCTCCTATAACAAATGTTTACAAATAGATTTAACAACAGTTTTGAAATCACAATGACGACAGTATAACATATTCTTGAAAAAAAAAAAGGGTAAATCTTAATAAAATTTTGTTTTTATAATAAACACTTTAAAAGATTTAAAAATTAAACAAAATCCTAATTTTCTTATACTTATTTAGTAAATTAGAAACAAACCATTATCAATGCAATTTACTGGCAAAAAGTCAATATCTGTGATTTTCCCATCCTCTTCAACAATTTCTAAAGTAAAAATTTAATTCTAATCTAGAGTTGTATTCAAATTTTTCTTTTCAAACTTGAATATTTTTATTTTAGTTATTTTTGATTGAATAAACTTGCTGCGATGTATTATAATCTTTGAATTGAGGTATTTAAATTCCTCACAAATTATTGTATTGTGACGGATTTAAATCACTAATTACAATCTTGACGCAACTTTTAACAAATTAATCCATACAGAATAAATAACCTTGTAGAATTCCACTTTCCTCAGTGCTTTTTTCAGAACTGTTCAGGCTTAAATTGTCGTCATAAAAAACTGAAAATAGATCCATACTAATATTTACTTTAACCTCGTGTCAATTTTTGTTTACTTTTATGTATAAACTCAACGGCTTCCGAAAAAACCTACCTACTTCTGAGCAATGGGAAAAACTCTACGGCAAACGAAATTATTCACCTCCTTTTGAGCCATGGGATCGTCTGCTAACCTTGAGCCATGGGATCGTCTGCTAACCTACCTACTTCTGAGCAATGGGAAAAACTCCACGGCAAACGAAATTATTCACCTCCTTTTGAGCCATGGGATTGTCTGCTAACCTACCTACTTCTGAGCAATGGGAAAAACTCCACGGCAAACGAAATTATTCACCTCCTTTTGAGCCATGGGATTGTCTGCTAACCCGGAATTACTGGAAAAATATTATTTTGGCTAAAAAGTTACCTAAATAATCGAAAACAATTTGTTTATGCGGATGATAACGTATCATCTAGTTTGTTAAATATTTCATTAGGACCTCTCCTATTTTTAATATATATTAATGATCTACCAAAAGCTTCTAACCTAATGAGAATTATGTTTGCTGATGATTCTAACCTATTTCTTTCTCATAATAACGTTATTACATTTTTTAGCAATATGAACATTGAACTAGTCTAAATTTCCGAATGGTTTAGACTAAACAAACTCTCACTAAATATTGATAAAACTAAATGGATTCTTTTTCATCCTTATGGTAAAAAGCACCAGCTGCCTAGCAACTTACCTTTACTATTTATCGATAAATAGTTATTAATAGAGTTTTAGTGACAAGATTTTTAGGCGTATATATCGATGAAAATCTTACATGGAAATGCCACATTGCTAACTTGTGCAGTAAAATTTAAAAAATTATACAAAATAAGAAAAGTTCTTGATAAAAAAACCTTAATTCAATTATATTATTCGTTAACTCATTGCCATATCAATTATGCAAACATTGCTTGGGGTAGCACTTATAAAAGTACACTAAAACCTCTCTATCGGCAACAGAAGCATGTAGCACGCCTTATAAATTTTATGGACCGTTTTGCTCACGCCAAGCCTCTTTTATATGATATGAAAGCACTCAATATATATGAGTTGAATGTTTTTAATATTTTTTGTTTTATGTATAACTGCAAGACCCATCTGTCACCCGTTTCTTTTCGTAATTTGTATTTACAAAAAAATAAATATACTCTAAGAAACGATAACTTAATTTGACAACCATTTTCTAACTAATTTCAGAAAATTTTTTATTTCATTTCGCGGACCATTTTTATAGAATAGTATAGTTCTAAATACTTCTAAAGATTTTTCTCAAGATTGTAATTTTGATTCTCTTAAACAAAATTTTAAAAACTCATTTTTTCAACTGAAAATATTCATATCTACTTTTAAATTTTTGAAAATCCCTTATCTATATTAAATTTTTTAAAATTCCTTATCTATATTAGTATATGTATATATTTAATGTACATTCTTTTTTATTTATTTATTTTTTATTAACAAGCAATTATTTAACAAGTTTTAGTTTTTACGTTTTAGAACGTTCAATAGCGGTTTCTATGTGACAAGACCTGATGGTCTTCTTTGAGTATCCGCGTTCTTTATAATTATTTTTATTCTTTATTACTTAACGATATCTTGACTTGTTGCCTTTTCTTTTTTCTTTTTTATATTATTTGTATTTGTATCATATATATTGTAATAAAGAACAAAAAAAAAACAAAAAAAAAAAAGTATCATTGCATAAGAAGATGACGTTATTTTACTAAGTTCTACAAATCTCTGATCTGCAAGAATAGATTGACAGATTTCAAACTTATGGAGTAGCAAACTTTATAAAACTAAACACTGAGAAAACGGAGTTTCTAATTTCTGAAACAAGTTTAATTTAAAACAACATTTTTCAAATTAATGGAACTTCAAAATATATCTTCAAAATAAGTGAAAACATCTGGGTCAATGATACTAACAAGAACAAGATTACAACACTTTAAGTTTCAATTAGATGTAATAGTTTTAATTGACATTGTAATTCTTTTTTGCTTGCCGTCAACAACAGGTCATTTATATAACTCATAAATAGTTAATTAAATTATATACGGTTTTGTGTTATGCAAAAATTCCCCCTTACAACATGGCAAAATTTATGGACGACCCCTAAATCTGATGTTATCTATGGGTGTATAAATCTTCTTCTTTTGAGGCGCGACTGTCAGGGTTGTGGGTTCAAATCCTTATTGGGGAGATTTTTTATTTTTAATGTTTTATTTGAAATTAAATTTATGTTTTTTAACTATCGTTGTTTATTTATAGTCGTGTTTATTATTTAAATTTATCTTTCAAAGTTTTTAAGAATAAGTGCATCAAAATGTATACATAAATCGACTGATTTAAATATAGTCGCAGTGAAGTATACTGACTTAAATAGGGATAGGCACTGCGGAGTGTACATACATGGACTGACTTAAATAAGGATAGGCGCAGTCGAGAGTACATACATCTACTGAGGGTTTAGGTTTCGGCAGGCATTCTTAAAAATAAAAGTATTTTAATATTCATTTTTTGAAATGAAATTTTTTGGGACTATGCATGTAACCTTTTGTTTCGTAAACAATTAGAAAAGGACATCAAGACTGTACTTTAACGCTTAATCTTTATACTTTTACGCAAATAGATACGTTTATAATAATTAAAAATATAGAATTATAAAGGTTAGCCAATAATATTTAAGAAAAACATTAAAAATGGCGCAACGTAACGGCAAACAACTTTTTTATGAACTTCATATTAAATTAATGGAGTACTACAAAAATGAATGGACTTATGATATATAGCTAATGAAGCTTTAAACTTTAGTTGTTTAGAAAACAATTTTTTTGATTTTTTGAAAATTGTTTTAATTGTCTTTTTAATCAAATGTCGTGTTATGACTTAAAGCTAGAAAAAAAGCTTAAACTAATATAAGCTTTTAAAATCAAGCGGTTCTATTTAATTACCGAGTTTTAATAAACCTTTTGCTGAATAACTGAAAATACTAATGGTTAAAACTTTGCTAGAATATTTTATTTTTTGATGTTTGCGGTACGCTTTATTGCTTTGATATTTGCGGCACGATGAACTTCCATCTGTTTTATACTTCCATACTTAAACTAAACAAGAATTTCAAGTGAAATCCTCAAAATAATTATAGGCCGGGTGAATAAAAAAAGGCAATTACATTTACTCAGTTATTGGTCAGCTTTATGTAAATAAAAAATTTAGCAATTTTCCTTAAGATTTTATTCATGTAAAGCTGAGCAATTACTGATGTAATAATAAAGTATATTTGTTTTTTTCTTAATGTCTTTCTGAATATCTTTACTCAATATATATACATTTGCAAATACCCCCGAGAGTATAACAAACAGTACAAACGTTATGTACAATATAATATATACGACGCGCCCACAACATTCCTTCTGACGCAACGCGTTAATAGTTTATATAAAATAAATTTATTTATTTAAATAACAACACCCCTTGATCTCTAGATCACAAAATTTCCATACTTATTCGGAAACTTCCGGACACGCGTAGATCTTCTGAGATTCAGGTTGTTCGCGGTGGGTTCTTCCGGTTCTCTCGTAGACAAGTCAGCTACAATGGGAGCTGGACGGATGTCCGACATGTGTCTCGGCAATCCATTGATTTCTACCAAAACTCCTCGTCCTTCATCTGAGACTCTTCCTCTATTCCATTCGCTAGTACATTTTGAATCAGGTGGTTTTACAAATACTTCTTGTCCTTGTGTGTAGTTGTGGAGAACTTCCTCGTTAGTTTTGGCAAAATTGTGTGTGGTTTCCATTTTTTCTGGGAGCCACGTTATACCAATATACCATTTTTAACGGATCTTTGCCACTTCTTGCTGCCATGCGCTTGATTGTGCGATGGTGACGTTCAACAATTCCATTTCCAGATGGCCTGTGAGCGCAACGAAACAGGATGGACACTCCCCATTCTGCGCATAATTCACCAACGAGTTTTGAGCGAAAGATCTTGCTGTTGTCAAGAAGAACGTGCCACGGAGGTCCTCTTTCTCGAAATATTTCTTCTAAATGGAAACACACTGTTGCTTCTTTCTTGTTTTGTAGCTTCCTCCAAATTGAAAACTTGATCCTTTCGCCACAGTCAATGATAGACAAATAAATCTCTGTTTTATAGTGGGTAACGTCAATAGCTAAACGGTACCAGCTCTTTCCAACTTTAAGATTTCCTTCTTCCCATCTAATTGGAGCAGGATCTACCGATAAACATCTTTCGCAGTTTTTTACGACTGATTCAATGTCTTTTCTACAAACTTTCTCCTTCGGATATGTCTGTTTCATCAAATAAATGGTTCGATTTACTCCAAAGTGATGAAGATTATGAAACGACTTCATATCAGGCGGTACGAGATTTGCTGTCATTGCAAAATGGTTTGAATGCAGCCAATTCTGTGGTACCCTCGTAAGAGCATCGGCTTTATTTTCTGCTGAATTAACCAGGGAAAGTTTTAATTGTATACCGCACTCCTTCACAAGGTCTTCAATTAACGACAACCGGCGACGGACAAATGGTTCTCCAAGACCGTGTACTCGAATGGGTTTGTCACCGATGATTAAGGATTTCAACCAGCCAACAACAGTAGCCGAATCACACTTTATGGTATTACATTCGAATCCCCATTTTGTTGCTAGATTGATTCCTTTTATCACAGCTTCTAACTCTGCGAGATTAATGTGAGCCGCATCGTCTTGTTTTCTCAGCCACGAGCAGTCTTCTACTATTTCCCCAGCCACTTCTAGAACTATGCCAACAGCTAAACTGCTTGCATCGCACCATACTGTTGCTTCAGAAGTGTTTTTTACTTTCCATGACCCATGAACGGGATCTTCCTTTGTATGTTTTTCATTTAAACTGCTTACTAATTTGACAACACGATCGTTCACCAAAGTGTCCGATCCACAACTACTCGAAACCCTTTTTAGATAGCTGCACGAAGTGCGCAACCAATTTGCTATTGGAAAATGTCCAGTCAGCTGTCTGCACCAAGAAAAGATTTGCCAACGCGTCATTTTTCCTTCAGGAACTTTGGGTATGTTGTCACGTTTCCAACCCACTTAGTTGTTTTGTTTGTACACTCGCAATCCAAGCACACGCCCACCGACAAGTTTTTCTGGCAGCTTAGAATCCAAGCCATATTTTTTCAAGAGTTTTTGAACTCTACAACTTGACACAATGTTATTATTGACAATGATGTCATCAATAAATGAATCCGTCCCAGACTCGACAATTTTGTCTAAGGATAATACTTTTTTTAAGATTTTTGTCATTATTCTGGGCGCCACATTTAAACCAAAACCCAATCTTGTTAGACAGTATCGCTGCCCTTCATATTCCACAACTTGATATTTCCGTAATGCTTCGTCAACACGATCTGCAGGTACGCTTTTTTTAAATCGGTTATCTTAATATTTTCTCCCAACTTTCTCCAGTTGCGAAGTTTGTTACTGCAAACATCGCCATCTGCAGTATGACTGGATACAAATTGATTCAACTCCCGGTAGTCTATCACCGGACCTACTTTTAATTTGTTTCGTTGAATTACTGCCATCAACGGAATGATGCTATTACATTTCCCTTCAAACGGTTTCAGCCATCCCTGTGCTATCCATTCACTTATTTCCATTGCGTACTCACTTTTAACGTCTTCAGAGATGTGATAGTTTGGAATTTTTGAATTCTTCTACGAAGTCTTTATCAATCAGCTTTTGAACAGTAGGCGTGGATACTTCATTCTTTTTTCCTTGAGAGACTGCAATAGCGCCGATAGTTAGTTGCCCCACATTAAAGTTTATGGTTTCGCCGTCTCTCCCAACTTGGACTCCTCCGAGCAGTCGTATTGCGTCCATACCAAGTAGCATTTGATATTCGGGAACAATGTTGGCAACCAGGCATTCCAACTCGATGGTGGTATCATTTATAGAAAGATTAACAACAGTCTGGTATTGTACTTTAATTGACTTTCCATTCATCATAGCAACCTTTTCACTTGCATGTTTGACATTTTTTGGGTTTACAATATCCCGACATAAAATTGATTTGGAGCATCAAGTATCTAACAATGCTTTTATTTTTCTTCCATTGACATATACGCGGAGAGTTGGCGGTTTTAAATTTCAATTTCAATTGTCCATCCTCACCGCAACGGTAGCACGTTATGGTCTTTTTTCCGCGTCCTTTAGAAACCTATCTTGAACTAATGGCAACCGGATTCACGCAACTGACAAAACACGATTCTTTGCGACGTAAAATTACCAAACTTCTGGATTTTTCAGCGATCTGGCACAGCGACATTGTTGATATTGAGCATGCAGTTTGCAGCTGTTTTCTTGCTTCGTCAGGTAATCCAAGAATAAATGCGCACCTTATCCACTCTTCGCTTAATTGAGATGATATTAGCTTGCTCAGTCTTGTTAATTCTGCGAGATATACGTCAACGGACTCATTCTCTTTAAGACGGTGATTTACGAACTCTTCGTATGCTGTTAGTGGAGAAGCAGAGAAGGCAGTAGTCAGTGCAGTTTTCACTTCATTGTAGTCTTCTTTTATCTCATCACTTAGGCTTTGATAAACGGCAAACGCCCCAAGAAATAAGGGGAGCACCACATGCAGTTCGTTAACTTTTTGAAGTTTTGCTACCAGTTCCAATTTCTGTATCCATTCTGAAAAATCACCCGAACCATCGTATTGTGATACCAGATCCGCAAACTTTATAACGATACTCATTGCCGAAATAGCTTGTAATAATAAAGTATATTTGTTTTTTTCTTACTGTCTTTCTGAATATCTTTACTCAATGTATATACATTTGCAAATACCCCCGAGAGTATAATAAACAGTATAAACGATATTTACAATATAATATATACGACGCGCCCACAACATTCCTTCTTACGCAACACGTTAATAGTTTATATAAAATACAATTATTTACACTAATTACAACTGAATATAATGCTTAACTTTAGGCGAAGAAAAAAATGTGGAAGTTTTTACACGCGTAAAACTCACCAATTAATAAGCAATGACCAATTTTTATATTTACCCGGCCTTATTTTTAAATACGCGCGTAAAACTAGTTGTACGCGCATACAAATAATGCCTACCTTTGTTTACATTTTGCCTTCCCGTGAAAAACATTGCGCACGTGGTTCATAATAGCCGCTTAATAACTAAATTTAAATTGGACAAAAATATTAAGTATTTTTAGGCACCAACTTCAAGTTTTCTTTGAAGTTTAACTAGTAGTACTTATTAATGAAGCATGAAAATTTGTTTGATTTGAGCTTCCAAATCTGAATTGCTCAAAGTTATGACGATTTTAAATTCAGCTTTAAATACTCCCACATCTTCTATTTTTGATTTTGTAATGGTATCTTTTAATTGAATAATTTATGTTCTAGTGGTTAAAAAGAAGTACATGATATTCGTAATTTGAAAAGAAAAGAACAGAAATAAAACTTTAAATAATTAATTTTTTATTATAAAATGGTTAAGGCAAAATAGTGGGTATAATTACTTTTTGTGTAAGTAAAAAAATGTTGTTTTTCGTTATTTTTGTTGCTTACACAAAAAATTAATTTTGACACTTTTTTTTTTTATCGATGAAACATAAAGTTCTAATATATAACTTTTTTTAAGTTCTAGTGGAAGGAACTGGCTGAAAAAACTGATGCCTGATAAAGAAAACACATAATTAAAATTTGTTAATTTTAAAATGGTTAAATTTTTTTTTTTTTTTCGTTGATTACGTTTTATCACTAGTTCGTGAAATTATGTACATGAAAAATAAACCCAGGAGAGTCTAACTCTCCTTGGTTCCTTTTTTTTTACATCTACTTAAAGAGATTTTTTTAGTTAGGCTATCCTTTTATTAAAAAAATTATAACAATGTTTAAAAGTTTAAACATAGTTTCAAATCTTGCATGTTTAAAATAGATATTTTTTATTAAAATGTTGCTAAGTTGTCTTAATATTATTTTGTGACAGTTATGATGTATAAATATAGTCTTGTAATGTAAGTGATTTATAAAGCCTAGATAAGTTTTTAATTAAATAATAATTACTTCTTACTTGGAAATACAGTGTCTCAGGTTTGATAAACATACAATTGTGCTCTGCTGGAATTGAACTAGAAAGTTAGTGTCATTTAACAGCATATACTTTTGAAGTTTGCTTGGTGAAAGCATCAAGAAGTACAATTATAAGATTTTTCGCAGCCAAATTCTATTTTAAGTATTTTAATGCAGACATTAATTAGCATCAAGTAAAAAATCAGAAAAGAACAAGATAGAAATAAATTAGTTAAAGATAATATGGAAAATGAAGTTATAATGGAATCAACAAGATTAATTTTTAACAACATTTCTCAACTTGACCTCTAAAAATCTTTAAATGGAAAAACAAACTCTAAGAAGCCTTCATTTGAAAAGAAAAAAGATAAATCAAGTTAATGAAGTAATTATTAAGAAACTTGCAACTATTCTGATTTTCTCTGCATTCAATTTTTGACTCTGAATAAATGTCACAGAAGTCAGAAATTTAAAATTTTTATATTGACTCCAAAATCTTGATCTATCAGAAGTGTGGTGAAATAGTTTCTATTCCTGCTATTCCTAACAGCAAAATTTTAAAAGCAAAGTTAGTTATGCAATAAAAAATGCATCATAGCATACTCTGATGTGGTTGAACAGTATTCAATCAGCAAGGTTATTTTAAAACTTGTTTGACATTTTTACTGTGGTGATAAGTAATCAAGATAAATACCTGGTAAAAAAGACTGTTAGTACTGGAAAAAACAAACGTCAAAAATTTATACAGCATACAAGTTAAAGTACTCAGACCATAAAATCGGAGTCATCCTTGGTAATCCAAAAAGTACACATTCTGTTTTTGTGTGTATGACACACCAAAATGTAAAATTAATTTTGAGTGCTATAGGTCTAGAAACGTCTTACCATGAAATCATTGAAATCATTGAAATGATCTGCACCAAATAATCAAAAGCTCTGTGGTTAACCAATGCAATAGTTGTCTCAACATAAAAGATGCTTAAATTTTTTTAATAATACAAAAATAAACAATACGAAAATTATACATTTAATAAACAATACAAAAATGGTGGTAGTAATAAAAATGAACTGAGTGTGGATATCAAACAGTGGACAACAACAAATAGAACTGAACATAACAAATTCAGCTTTCATTAAATGAATTCAAAACCTCTGTGGGATAAGCTTTATAAAATTTCTTCTTGTGCATTTATTGCAAAATCACAATCAGGCTGTCTTATGCATCTCAGGGATAATTTCTTTTAATGTCTCAGAGACAATTACTCATGTTATGTTATGCAGAGAACCACAACTTTCTAGTATAAGAGAAATTAAAGCCATCTTTTTATAATTTGATTATCATATTTTCATTTTTATTAATAAAACAAAAGATTTATATGAAAGTAGTATGAACTTTAACTTCAACATTAACATAATTTGTGAGATTTACTTTCAGGTTAAATGCAAGTAGCAATTAAAATTTGCACCATTCTAAAAAATAATACCAAGTTATTAAATGATGTTTTGCAGTAAAGATTATTGTGTAATAAATAGTTTATATTTCCAATGTGCTGCAATTTAAACTATATTTATAAAACATAGTTATATATTTAATGTATGCTATGTATTATAAAGTGCTGAAGTTTGTTTATAAGTAATCTACATATGTTTTAATATGTGCTTTATTCATACATTATTATTTTAGGTAGTAAACCTTTTATAAAGTAAAATTTTAAACATGAGAGTTGTGGCTCTAATCAGGTATTAATTTGTTTACAACATGTTTATATATAAAAATTTTTAACAATATAGTATTAAATATTTAACAAAATTTATTTTACAATATGATATTAAATATTAAATAAAATTGTCAATTTGTGATAACTGAAATTTTCAGCCAAAAGACTTTTAAAAGATATCAACTAGTTAATGAAGATTATCATTTTTTGAAATTGTTTAGCACTGCTCAAATCCTTTAACTACAATGATGACATCCAACATGGCATCTGTATGGGATTTTAGTAAATTCACTGACTCTGGATTTGGGTTTAGGCTGTCTGTCTATAAAAAGCATATAATTATTTTTTGTCATCGTAATCTGAAAAATTAAAGTGTGTATTTTAAAAATTAAAATGAGCAAAATATGAACATGCTGATCTGAATCTGAATTAATTTTATTTTGTTCTCCTTTTGACACAGTTTTTACTAAATTTGTTACGTTTGTTAAAAAAGTATAACAATTTGTAAATTTTATTGTAATTTATTATTATAAACTAGATTTTTATATATTTATATTCTATAATTCTATCTATACATATATATGTATTCTATAATTCTATCTATAATAGCTAGTTTGATCTTGTTATAGTTTTTTTTGCACTAATATTTCAAAATGGGAAATCACTGATTGACTTAACCAACAGTAAAATACTATCAATTCTTAGGTTAGAATTAACCTCTAGGAATAACTTTAATAAAATCCATTACCACAAAATACATAAAAGGATTTTAGGAATTTATTAGGATTTATATTGAATTTTCTATTTTTTTACTAGATAGTGATTTTTCAGTTTTTTACTAGATATATGATCAGAACAGTATAGGTTAAGAAACTTTCCTTAGAATCAATAACAATCAGTTTACAGGTCTATACTTTATTAAACTTTTAAAATATGTTTTATTAGGGCATCAAGGGAAAATGGTTAGTAAAAGATTACTGTTTAAACTTTTTTTTAAATAAACTAATAACGTTTTTCTCTATATTTATCTATTCAATAAACATAATTTAGTGGTGGAAAAGATAGCTGTTTTAACATGATGCATTGTGTTGCTCATGGTCATGAAATTGTTGCTTTGGCCCATCTTAAATCTTCTCTTGTTGGTAAGAATCTGTCATAATTAGCTTTGCTACATTGTGTTTTGTGTATGTATTTTAAGTTTTTTTTAGATGAAATGGACAGTTATATGTATCAGACTGTTGGACACAATGTAGTCGAATTATACTCAGAGGCATTAGGTGTTCCATTATTTCAGCAATCCATTTTAGGCTCAGCAGTATGTCAATCTTCAATATACAAAATTGATAAACATGATGAAGTAGAAGATATGTATCAACTTTTAAACATGATTCAGGTTCAAAACTTAAAAATATTATTTGTTAATTTTTAAAGAAAAAACTTAAACAATGATACAAATTTATATTTTAATGATTTCTTGTTAATGATATTGCTAGAATTCTATTGATTATGATGGTGTTTCTTCTGGTGCTATTCTTTCTAATTACCAACGTGTGAGAGTGGAAAATGTGTACGTATTTTAATTTTATTTGATTGTATAAATATTTTGTTTAAATACCTAGCAATAAGTATAGGTAGATAATAAAATGTCTTAATTCTTATTGGACAACACTCTAATAACCAATTACACTCAACCTTGTAAGTAAAAGTAGCTATAGTATATAGTAGCAACAACTAAATTTTAACTTCCACATTTTATATAAAATTCAATTAAAATGTTGCGATATGAACAGTAAGGGCATGCAAAATACAGTCTCTTTTTAACTCAGGTGATAACACAACACCTTTTGTTTAATGCTGGTATTGTACCAGTATTTGAAAAGCAAAATTTAAACTAAAATATTCAACTTTTTTTTTCTTCCTGTTTTTGTATTATTAAATTTGGCAAATAAGTCTTTAAATTAATACCTTGTGAATGATTCTAGTTCAAATCATACCGGCAGCAAAAAAAAAAGCTACATAAATTTGTCTTAAAATGTTATAGGCTTCAAAGTTTTTTAACATCGATCTGCAAACATTTTTTTTCTACACACATGAAATTTATGTGTGTATGCTGCTGATTTTTAGTGATATTCGTTGTCTAATGTTAAAAACTGCCTTGCAAAAATTGCATTGAAGTAATCAAAAAATATAGAATAAAAAATCCACTCTATATACAAGTATTCAATAACTAATATTACTGAAAGTCCAGAAAAAAATTAGCACAAAAATTGGTATTCCTATGAACAATAATGTCTTATAAAAGTATATAATATAAAAAATTATTAATGTATGCAACTTTAACAATGTTTTCAGATGCTCAAGATTAAATAAACAATCATTGACATTCTTGTGGCAAAAAGACCAAGTAGAACTTTTACAAGACATGATTAATAATAGTGTCAATGCAATCATAATCAAAGTTGCTGCCCTTGGTTTGTCATTTTAATAACTTTTATAATAATTTTTATTTTGGTTATATTCTTGTAAAACCATAAAAAAATTTTAAACAGGTCTGGAGCCAAAAAAACATCTTGGCAAAAATCTTTTTGAGATGCAAGATCACTTATTAAAAATGGTGCGTTTATATCATATATTATATACATATATATATATATATATATATATATATATATATATATATATATATATATATATATATATATTATATATATATATATATATATATATATATATATATATATATATATATATATATATATATATATATATATATATATATATATATATATATTTGTGTGTGTGTGTGTGTGTGTGAGAGAGAGAGAGAGAGAAGTCCATTTGGAAAATATGATAAGTCTGAGTAAACTAATTTTGAGAAAACAAAAAACTTAACTACTTTTAGTTGCACATCAACAGAAATTTTCTTAATGAAAATATTTCTTTGTCCATTTTTAGGACCAAAAGTCTTTTAAATGGTTTAATATTTAAATAGATAATAGGTTTCAGTATATAGTATGAGGAAATAAAATTAACTCAAAATTTTTTTTGTGACTTAACGCATTTTGCAGATGGGCTCCTCATATATATATATATATATATATATATATATATATATATATATATATATATATATATATATATATATATATATATATATATATATATATATATATATATATATATATATATAAATATATATACATACATATATATATATATATATATATATATATATATATATATATATATATATATATATATATATATATATATATATATATATATATATATATATATATATATACATACATATATTAAATTTATGTTGATTTATAAATATTATTAAGACTTGAATTTTCTTATTATTCTTTTATGTTATTGAGCTTTTTACTTGAAACAACTTATTTGTTAAACTTCATAATTTTTTTTCAAAGTTTTGAAAAGCAGAAGCTTTTTAAAGATTTAATGGCAAATTCATAGAACACTATAATGATTTATAATATAAAGTTAAAAAAAAGGCATTGTTTAATATGTATTTTGTATAAAAATATATTGTTAGCAGTTGGGAAATGTTTGTCAATTAATTTTAAAAACGCTTTTCCAATGTTTGTTGAAACATTTTTACTGTACAGATGGTTGAACCAAATTCTATTTCTATTTCTATTTTGCTTTTTTTCAATTTTTATTCATTTCAAATTTTAGCATGAAATTTTTAAATCTGCTTTTTTTGAGAGAACAGAAGATACAATTTTTTTTACTATTTTTTAATTCAATTTTTATAGTTCTAAGGTTGGCTGGTAGTCAGGTTTCCTAAACTATTGTAGCTCTCAAAGAGGCTGATTCCATTGACAGCTGTATAATATCAGAGTACTAGCAGTTCCGTTTTGCACATGTACTACATGGTTTCCCTGTACTTTAGGTGTGCATTTTTGAGGCTACATTTGGAACCCTTTGTTATGGCTTATGGTTTATTAATTGTAATGAGGCAATTGCTTAGACTATTAGATAGTGTACTGAGCACTATCTGTGCTTTAATTCAAGTTTTTTAACAAATTTAAAAAATGACATAAGTATCAAAAACTATAAAACACAAAAAACCATCGTCATCACCAAGTTCTCTAAATTTATCATTCACTAATATTCGTGGTCTTCGAAGTAATTTTTCTTTTGTTGAATCTTTTGCAAAGTTCACCAAACCTACTTGCTCTTTGTGAGACTAATTTGAGTTCATCTGTCTCACCTTGTAATCTTAGTATTGATGGTTATCCTCCTTTAATTCATAAAGACTCCAATTGTAACATGCTTAGCCTGGGCATTTACATTTTAAAATTTACTCATTTGTCAAGAAACTAGGTTTCAATTCACAGACTATTCTTTTATGTGCTTTCGTTAAGCGTCACTTCACTCGATTACTTTTCTGTTTGTTCTATATTGCTCTCCTTTATTATAAGACAGCACTTTTATTGATCTTTATCCTTCAGCCAATATCATTGTTGTTGACTTTAATGCTCATCACAATGAATAGCTTGATTCTAGTGTCAGTGACTCTGCAGGCGTTAAAGGGATCCCCAACTGCTGAGACAAGTTGTGTTCATATTAAAGAAAATGTTTAAAAAAAACATTTGGGCTGAATTTTTTTGGTTGAAACTAAATAATGAATGCATACCTATAAAATTAAAATTATTGTTTTAGTCAAAGCTCACCTTTTCCATTATTTTTTTTGGTTATCGGAGTCTGTATAATGTTAGCCGCAATCTGCAGACTTGATAATTTATTCCAGGCATGTTTAATTCATAACAGTTTTGGTGTATGACATCATCGCAATATCTTTTTAAAATAGGGTTTTTTTGTTGTTGTTTTTTTAAAGATATAAGTATTTTTTCTATTACAATCAGAAAATCAAATATTTGAAAATTTTTTTACTAAATCACAAAAATTATTTGTGATTTAGTAAAAAATTATGCAAATATATATATATATATATATATATATATATATATATATATATATATATATATATATATATATATATATATATATATATATATATATTTACAATTTTTTTTTAGTTGCTTTATTATTACTTTGTTTTAGAAGCCAGCCAAAATCATGGCACAACTATAAATATTTTATGCACAGAAAAAATAAAGGCAGTGTGATGCGGTTTCTTGTTTTATATTTAGTTCATATGGTTTAATAGAGTTGTTCGTTTTATGTTTAATTTACATTAAAAGTTATGGTTTAATTCTTTCACTAACGCAAGCCTCTGGTAGCAGCTTTTGAGTATGCTTTACAATTTATGTTGTTTTGTACATAAATTTCCATTCTAGACACATAGAATTTGTTTGTTCTAAAGGTTTAATTAATTCTCTACATGATCAAGAAAAAATAAGAGCTATATTGTGTAATTACAAAAAAGTTATCACAAAGTTAAAAAATCTTGAATAATCCTTCAATGATACATGTTAAAAACTTTATTACTATCGAATTTTAATTAATTGTTTATGTTATGCCGTTCAAATTTTATTTTTAAAAATGTGCGGTTGCTACAAAAAGATTTTTGTTCGTCTGGTAGCGAACAAGTTAATGCGATTCTTCATTTTTATATTTATATTGTAACTATTATACTATAACTATACAAATATTTGTTTCAATTTTAATTTAGTTTGATTTGTACAGTTATTAGTAAAATAATTTGTTTAATATTTATTTTCTACTTGGTTCAGTTTATATGTTTTATTCAAGTCGCTCGTTTTTTATTCAGTCTATACTTTAAATTAATTTATACGCTTTAGTAAAATTATTCTTTTAGTATCTAGTTTATATTTAGTTAAAACTAGTACCTTTTACTGTAAATATTTGTTATATATTAAATTTTTATTTTTATAAATTTTATAAATTTAATTTTTAATTGCATCACAAACTTTTATTTGGGATTTAGTAAAAAGTTGTATTCAATTAACATGACTTGGTGATTGTGGCAAAAAAAAACAACGATATCTTGAAAGAAAAAATTTATACGATGACGTTATATACTGGAACTGTTATGAGTTAAGCACGCATTGAATAAATTATCAAGTCTGCCAATTGCGGCTAACATTATACAGACTCTGAGAACCAAAAAAATAGAAAATGGTTAGCTTCGACTAAAATGTGAATTTTAAAATTAATGGTGTGCATTCGTTATTTAGTTTTAATCAAAAAAATTCAGCCCAAATAATTTTTTTAAACATTTCCTTTAATACAAACACAACTTGTCTCAGCAGTTAGGGATCCCTTTACGTCTGTTTACTATTGCTAGAAACCATTGTAAAAAGGTTTTGTTTTACACCAAAGCCCTATTCTCAGTTTACAAAATCTTGTATTCCATCTCAAAATTAGGCCTTAGAAACTTCTGGAGATTCTTTAACATTGTCTATAATAAAGGAAAATCTGTTATACATCCTCTCTTGCATGGTTCAGATTTTTTAATTTACCTAATGACAAAGCTGAATTGTTCTCTAAGAACCTTTCATCAATCTCATCTCTTAATTCCACTAATCACATCCTAACTGATATAGCCAACAAACAGGTTAATCCATTTTCCAAATCGTCCATTAGACTTTTTTCACTTTTAATTTTTCCACTTTTTTTAAAAATTTTCGCCTATGATAAGTTGTAGTAGGGTTTTTTTTTCAACAAATTTAGGTTCAAAACTTTGTCCCACAAAAATTTTTATGAAATAGCAAATGCATAGTAACTCTTTGTAAAACTTTTTTATTTAATGCAAATTTGCGCTGTGAGAGGTAGTTCATAAGATATTTACGTTTTACTACATGAGGGTAAAATGTAAACAAAACTTTGTTGATTTATTTTGAAATTGAAAACATTTTATCCGTTTTTTTTTTTTAAAGTGATAAAAATACTAAATCAAAATTCCAAATTCAGCGAAAACACATCTAGGCTGCAGAAGGACTGGCTGTATCATTTGCATGAGAAAAGCTGACACAGAACTTACAGAAAGCCTTATGACAAGCATTAAACAAGTTCTACTAAAGGACTTTAAAGATGACAGAGTTCCTTTTGGCAATCTGTAACAACTGTAGAACTCAACTTGGAAAACTGGAAAAAAATTTTCACCAGATACTCCTGAGACCTATGCCAATGTCAAGTCCATTTTTGATCTCATTAAAGTTCAAGAAAAGTCAATGATTCCGTAGTTTCATGTGATATGAAGCTTGCCAATATAATGTGTGGCATACAATATCAAAGCAGCAGGCACCCTTGCTGTTGGTGTGACATTGAGTTTTCAAACTCCTTAACTGTGAAAGCCTGAGAACTTTTGGTGGCATAAGAGGCAAGCAAAAAGAGTTTGTCAGCTCAGGTAGCGGTTTGAGAAAATCAAAGTTATTCCAAAATGTGGTTAATCTTTCACTGTTGGAGTTTCCAGACCAAAAGCTTATTTTAGAAGCTATTCTAACAATGGAGCTACATTTGTTGCTAGGTGTTGTGAAACATCTAGTGAAACATCTGATTGATTATTGGCCTGGTGTAAAGGAATGGCCATCAGCATTGAATATTCCACTTCAGCCATAGCATGGTGGTCATTTCAACAGCAATGATTGAAGCTTTGTA